GTTCTTTAAAAAATATTTTTTAAAATTAAAATTTTATTATGAAAAACTTGTCACCTATACATTTTGATTAACTTCTAAACACTTGGAATAGTCATTCTGAAGCTGTGGAGCTTCACATTGGCTTTTACATTTTCATCATCAGTCTGTTTCTATACAGTTATTCACCACCAAACTCCACAGAATTAACAGGGCTAAAACTAGAAAACTAATTGTCTTCCATGCCTCATCCATGACCTGCATCCAGTCCTTCCCTATTACCTAATATCTGTCTTTCCTTGTAATGTGCATCCTACCCAACAGCCTGGCCCAGTGCCTCATCAATCCCAAATAACACAGAGACTCTATTAGTTACAATGCTGTCAGCCAATTCCAGGGCTACTCATTGGCTAGTTCTGTCTTAAGTATTAACCCATGACTACTAATATGTACTTCTATGATGACTCTCTACACTTGACAACATTTTCCAGATTCCTCCTTCTCTCCTAGTCCCACAAACCTTGCTTCTCTATTGGCCAAAAGTGTTTTATTCATTAACCAATATGAGAGACATATACACAGAAGGACTTTCCCCATCATCTCCTCTTTTCTGTCTAAATAAAAAGAAAGGTTTTAACTTTAACATAGTCAAATTACATATAACATATACAAATTACATATAAAACAGTTATCAAGTAAGAACTATAGTTACAATATTTAGTCTATTAATATTTAGCAAAATTTAAAGAAAATATCATCTATCCTATCTTTGTGAGTCTAAAGTCTTATATGTAGCTTATCTTTTATCATAACTAAGGAAAACTCTGATTATAACTTTCTGTTTCAACTCCCATCAAAGACCACAGAAGATTAATATATAAACACTAGAATTGACAAAGACATCTTGATACCTGGACAGTCACTCAAAGTAACTCTTTAATGTTGGGACAACCATTTTCAGCCCAGAAATTTTAAACTGTCCATCTGTATTGGCAGTTTGTCAGTCATTTTTCTCTGTGTCCTGTAGGATGTCTGGCAGACTCTTCCATGAAGTAGGAACCCTGTAGCAATATCCATATTGTTTTATCAGTCACTTTTCTGTGGGTCTTCCATGTCCAGTTTATACAGCAACAGTAAAACAGTCCAGGCAAGAGCAATTTCTTACCCAAATGGCTAATCTTACCATGTTGAAAGCAAACTCCATAACGAGTTTCTTTTATGCCCATCTTCCTCTCAGACATAATTGGTGTGTCAGGAGCAGTTGTGTCTCACTATCATGAAAATCCTTAAACCATTTAAATATCGTATATTCTGCAGGTCTTTGAAGGGTTTGAATACTATCTATCCATATCAAATGCATCTCTGTTTATCTAGAAAACCTAACTAACCTAACTATAAGTTCTGACTATTATAGGTGACTATATACAATCTGTATTTAACTATGCATTACATTTTAAAAGGTCAGTAGAAACACAATACTAAAACAATAGGAGAAATATGTGTGTGTGTGTGTGTGTGTGTGTGTGTATCTCACAAAATTGACCTTAAACATTTGTATCAATAAATGAAAATCCATTCCAATACAAAGTATTCATTTCTATACCATAAACTCCCTCTTTCCATTTAAAAGAGATTGGTTGAGATCATTAGCCATTTATAACCAACCCCATTTATATGAAAAAAATTTATAAACAATATTTGGGAATTTAGACGTTGTTCATTCCAAACTGCTTCCTGCTGGTTAGGGGTGCTGTCCATACCATGGGGATCATGACAAAACACAGAAATCTGGCTAAGTCCTTGTTTTTTGTAGTCTTCTAGGCTGCATCACCTCAGCTGTTTTGGATCACTTGGGTCACTGTTTCTGGGGGTCTTGCTTCATCAAACCATACAATTGTGTAAGGATTCCATAGCTTTTCATTTTCTGTGGAAACACAAGTAAAAACTTTTTTCCCAAGTAATCTGTCCTTATATTTAAATCTAGAAGTCAAATAATTTTTAAAATATATAAGTTGGATTAATTTCGTAGCATTTCTTTTAGCAGTTGTTATTACTTAGCAATCAAACAATTCAAAGACAACACAATAGCATACAGTATCCAGACTTTCTTTGCATTTTTCATCTTTACATGGCTTTTTTATTACTCTATTTCTTTTATTTATTTATTTATTTATTCATTCATTTATTTATTCTCTGAGACAGGGTTTCTCTGTGGAAATCTGCCTGCCTCTGCCTCTGAATTGCTGGGATCAAAGGCTTGTGCCACCACACCCAGCCATTATCTTGTTTGTTTTTTTTCTTTCAAGCCTATGTATATTTTTTTCAACACACTTTAAACCTTTAGGAGGTTTTACTTCATCTGAATCTGGTTATACTGTAAATCTTTATGTTTTTCTAGCCACGTGTCTGTTATCTGCTAAGCAACATTGCTAAAACTAAAGTTTCAGGTGTTTTAACTGATGTCTTTCCAAGATGGCAGGCATACATTTACCAAAAGCACTGGTTGTGCAAGTCTCTGCTTGTTTCTAGCAAAACAGAACCCACCCTAGAAATTGCTGCCATCAAGAAGCTGTGCTTGTCTCTATTCTTTTGTTTCTAAAAATCCGTTATAAACTTTTGTCATTCTATGTGGAAATTCATGTAACCAACATTGGGAGCCATTATGTAATGTGCATTCTTCCCATCAGTCTGGTCCCAGTGACTTGTCAGTCCCAAATAACACACAGAGACTCTATTAGTTACAATGCTGTTGGCCAATGCCCAGATCTTCTCATTGGCTAGTTCTATCTTTAGTATTAACTCATGACTACTAAGATATATTTCTATAAGGACTTATATTTCCAAGGACAGCATCCTGACACGTTTTCTTGCTCTCCTTTCTATATGCATGCAATATCTACACGCACATTTGTTTACATGTTTGTATATTACAGACTGGGAGTAAAAACACTGCTAAGAGGCATCATAATGCCTAACTTCAAATTATACTACAGAGCTATAGTGATAAAGATAGCTTGGTATGGGTATAAAAATAGACAGGTGGACCAACCTAATAGATTAGAGGACTTGAAAATGAAATTATACTTTGCCCATTTAATTTTTGTCAATGAAAGCAAAAGTTCACATTGGAAATAAGATGCACTATTCAACAAATAGTGCTGGAAAACTGTATATCTGCATGTAGAAGAAGAAAACTTGGTTTGTGTCTTTCACCTATAAAAAATAAATTTAAAATGGGACAAAGACATAAACTTAAAACCAGAAATGCTGGAACTTCTAGGAGAAGCAGGGAACATTCTTCAAGACACTGGGATGGCAAGAACTTTCTGAACAGAACCTCAATAGTGCAGGCAGCAGACCCAAGTACCAACAGATATACTACATGAAAATAAACATCTCTGTGGAAAAAATGAAATTGTCAGCAGAGCAAACAACCCATAGCATGGGAGATCTTTACCAGCTCTGCTGCAGGCAAAGGCCCAATATCCAGAATTTACAAAGAACTGCAGAAAATAAGTAGCAAGGTAACAAATTGTTCTGCTGTGAGTGAATTGCAATGTGAGACTTCAGAGAGAGCCGAGGGGGGCATTTTTGGCTGTTATGAGCATTATTACTAGTGTGAAGGCAGGTCTTCATGGTTATTAACTGCCAGAGTTAGTTAATGAGAATATTACTGAAGAAAGAGAGAGCATGGTGTCACCATACAATATCAGTCTGTAAAACAACTGGGCCAGGTGTTACCTGGAGTTCTGGGATGAAGCTGAATGCTGAGGGTGGGAGGGAAGGGCCAGAACTGGTTTGCTTCATAGAAACAATGTCTATCCGTTCCCTGGTTGACATTCTTAGATATTGTAGAGAGAGAATGAACACTGCATTTTTTTAATATAGTGAAGCAAAAGTAAAGTGGTGTTTCAAAGAGAAATGTACTACCGAGTATGAGCAACTAATATCCTATCTGTTGTTTATCCCAGTGAGGCTTTCTTCCTCTCTACTTAGAGTGATGGGTGAATAAAAATTAATTAGAAGTTGGAATCTGATTTTAAGATGGGATGTCAGACACATATATCAAGCTGTTAGGTTAGCTGTAAAGCATAACCTGGGATTTATATGTTTAGAAGTCATAATAAATCTGTCTGTCATGAAAATCAGATTCCCCAGTGTTGCATGCTAATGATGCTCCTCCCTCATGGAACCCTGCTCTCCTCAACAACTGCCTGATTGCCATGCGCATTCTCACTGGCTGCTTGCTTCACCCCACATAGCAAAGTGCCTACTGTTAATAGGAGCTTCTGGGATGCTGGAAAGAGACATTTCCCCCTAGACTGTAGTGCTGACCTCCTATGACCTTTATGGACTTTTTTTCTCAACATTAATCACTCAACACAATTATTTCAAATGTATCCATGCCAAGCTATTCATAATGCAATAGTGGCTATCTGGGAGAGCAGGGGCAGAGTGATGAATTCAGCTTCACCTGAGAACAGTCAAGTGTAGGCTATAAGGAGCCCAGACTGAAGGATATCTAGGAAAGCTTCCTAGAGGCCTGTGTCCTAGTTCTCCTCACTGTCATCACCACCATCCTATTTCTCTTCCTTGTCCTCCTTTCCCTCCCTGTCTTCTTCATCCTCTACTTCCTTCTTTCTTTTACATTTTTGGGGTGTTTCTGGTTGGCCTGGAACTCATGATCCTGGTGCCTGAGTCTCCTGTGTTGGATTCTGTGCATATGCCACCATGTTTGGCAGGGGAATATCTTCTGGACTGTGTGTTGGGATCTGGCATGGTGAAGGGAGGTGAGGTGGGATGAGCAGAATGGAGAGGAAAGAAAACTGTAGACTCAGGGCAGATGACAAGTACTGAGATGGAAAAGTTATGCTGTGGAGATTGTTCCTGCAGTTGTCGCAGCCTGTCAGCTTGCTGGATTTCTTCCTTATTCTCTTCACATCTTCAAGACTCTATTTTGGTGCCTGATAACTTTTGTGACTATTGTTTTTAACTTTCACCACCTCATCTTTACTGTTTTTCAGGTAAGACTTGCTTCTCAGATCTTCCATGGGCTTCTATGCTTATGTATCTGTGTCTCCAGTGGCCCACTGACCTGCAGCCCATTTCCAACTTGTCTATACCTGATAGACTTCACCAGGTACAACTGAATTCTCTGGCAGACTTTTTTGATTTACCCCAGGAGGCAGTATTGCTTTGCTTTGCTTATCTTCCCATTTAAAAACTGCTTGTTAGTTCTAGACCGTGTTCAAGATGTGTGACAGTGATCCACCAACCAAAGAACCCAAAGTCATGGAATTTTTTTGGGAAATGCATGTACTTAGATTCATTTGTCCTGCCTGAAAGTTTGGTTAGGATTTACACATTTGTCCCCTTGATTTGCCTATCAGAAACTTGTGAATCAATGCTATGTTCTTTGTATTTGCTGAATAAATTGATTTTGAGTGAATAAAGTAAGGAATAATCAAAATATGTAATTTGAGTATTTACAGAGGTGGAGGTGGAGGATATAGTGATAATCTAGGGGGAGCGGAGTATGTATTTTTTAGTCATAGTTTTTCAGCTCAAACCAGGACTTCTCCACATATTACTTGTGTAGTCTTAGATTACTGAACCTCTGTGAACCCAGTGTTATTTTATTCTATGTGGTTTTACCTCATGGTATTGTGGATATTAGAAACGCCATACACAGTACACCTCTTACTTCATTAGGATGTATTAATCACTCAGGAAGAAATTCATCTTTCGTGTATTAAATTATTTCAAGAGTCTGTAGGTATGGAAACAGAGAAATCACTATAACCCTCATGTCTTTGGAAACATGACAGTGGAAAAACTGTGCTTCTTGTAGCCTTTCCTGGTTTCTTTTCTGCTGTTGTTGTAAAAAACTGACCAGAGCAACTTGGGGAAGAAAAGGTTTACTTCATCTTATATGTCCAAGTGAAAGTCCATTGTTGAGGGAAGCCAAGGCAGGAATCTGGAGGCAAACACTGAACGGAGACCATGGAGCAGTGTTGCTTAATGGCTTGCTTTCCATGGATTTATCAGCTTGTTTTCTGACAACCCAGGACCACTTGTCCAGGGGTGGAACCTCCCACTGTGGATTCTACCTGCCTACATCAATCATTAGTTAAGAAAAAGCCTTTACCGACATGCCCACAGGCCAATATGAGGGAAGCAATACCCTAGTTTATGACAAGCTGACAAAAGCACTCAGCACATTGTCCATTTAATACCCACGAGTTTTGTCCTGAGCTCCGTGATACATGTCCTGAGAGGACCTCAGTTTTCTTTTCCTCTGGTTCCGAGAGGCATGCCCAGGTTCTTCTCACAGCTACTCCCAGCTGCACCCTGCCAAATTCTGAGAGCTCACTTTATTTTCTACCAGAACTATCATGCCAGGTGGCCTGATCAGTTTTTCACAAGTTCTGCATCTCTTAAGTATGCCTCCCTTGCAGCTGACGTGGGTTGATGGAGCAGATTTGTAGTTGGTGTGGCGTGGGAAGAGCAGTTGATGCTTCTACCTCGGGTCTGTCTCTGAGGGCTGCATAACCTATGTTATGATTGGCTATCTCCCCTGTAACAATTGCATCAGCACCCGACTCAGAGGATACCAGTGAGGGACTAAATGCAAAGACACATGAAATGCTCAGCACAGTTCCTATCACACATAAGTACTCAGTAGATGACCGCTATTATTAAGTACTGTCTGATCTCTGTCATAGTAAAATCATTATTCCATCAGTGTTTGCTCATCTCCTTGTTAGAATTCAAGCTGAAAGTAGGGAAATTGTGTCTTGGAATATTTCTCTGTAGAGATGTCTGACACAGTAAATAAATACTCATTTGATAAATGAATGAGCAAAGCATAAATTATTATTTATTAGCAATTGTGTGAAAATATTATGTTTTTACATAGTGGGAAATTAATGTACCATAGTTCCTTAACTGACTCCACTTAACTGTCTCTACTTATATCAAGAGATTTTTTTAGGATGTTTAGTATAAGATCAAAACTCATATATAAAGGCAAGAGTTACAGAGACAGAACAGTTGGTAAAATGCTTGCTTTATAAGAATGAGGACCTGAGTTCCATCCTCAGATACACATTAAAAATAAAGAAAGAAATGGATGTGGTGGTAAACATCTGTAATCCCAGCACTAGGGAGGCAGAGACAGCTGGGTCCTGAGGCTTGATGGTCAGCCATTCTAACCTACTCAGTGAACTTCATGCCAGTAAGAAACTATGCCCTAAAAGATGAGTGCTACTTAAGGCATGACCGCTAAGGTTGTTTTCTGTTTTCCCTATGCCCTTCCGCACACATGCACATGCACAGGCACATGTGTGCACCCTCACACATCTTATTACATGTGCAGTGCTTGTTTTCTCATTCTTCCCCCACCCCCATTTCTACTCAAATGCTCTCAGAGGACAAATGGGAGAATTAGGTTGAGAAAAATCTTTACTTGTGTAAAGAATTTATAATCTCTTCATTGTTTTCTGTAAATGCCTGGTCTTCCTAGAGCACCTTTAGTTTTTCCATTTGTGTTCAACATCCATCAGCACAAAATATTTGTCTCCAGTCTTTACTTACAGAAAAATAGCACCACAATTAAGAAGATAGCGATAATTAACACTTGGCCTCAAGTCAGAGAGAATATGTTGTGGCATGATGGAGGCATTCCAGTATTTTCTGTGAAATCTCTCAAATTACAAATGTTGCAAAGAATTAAAATACCAAGTTAGCCATTCTAGGATGGGCCAAATGGAACAGAGCAATTGGTCTGGTGTGGCTAGGGGCTCAGCTTCTTTCTCTGCTGCAATGAGGACATACAATTAGTACTTTCAGAATTCTCATGAAAGCAAGATTTCCCTAAGTCACTTGAATACCCTTTCAAAAGGAGACAACTGGAATTCTCTTCTGAGTCACACAAACCTAAGGGGTTCTATAAGATATGTGGGTTAGCTTTTCATTTAGTACTGAAGGCTTAAGGGGTTTTGTGAGTTCTCCTTCTCTTGTTTTTCCATTTGGCGCACATTACTTGTGCCTTGAAAAGATCAAAGTCACATGCATTGAGAAAAAGTTACTGGACCCTGAAAGTTGGTTACTATCAATTACATTCTTGCATTTAATAGTCCATTCCTGGGCAACACAACTTGTTTTGTTGTAAATACCCAATGCCAAACCAAGTGATGCTGTAAATACCAACTAATACAAAGCAGCTGTTTGTGTTAGTTGGTATTTACAGCATCACTTTAACCACTTTGACCCTATTCAAGGAGGTAATGAAGAGCTGGGTGCCAGTGATGTTGATAAACTGTGACAATTTCTACATTGCGTCCTTATAGCCGCCAGCTTCAGCCTCCATTATTTAAATTGCTAGCCATTACAGCCATGCCATTAACTAGAACTGGTAGCCCTCAGTATTGAGTGTCACATTCTAAGACAGGGACATATATGCATAAGAAGGGAACAAAAAGAGACCCCCCTAAGACTTGAATACTCATGATTTCTTTTCAGTGTGGTAGGTGATTTGGAGTTCTCACTTGCATTAGTTTTTGTTTTATTCTTTTACCTACCCAAATCACAGATACTGTTCCTGGCTTAAGACGTTCCTGCTTTATTGTTTATTGAAGTAGAAAATATTGAAGTACATCAAGGCAGTTTTATTCTTCTTTAAAATTGAATGCAAAAGCATATGAGAAGTTAGGTTTGGACATGAAGAAAGTCACTGTCCATTCACCTGCTTCTTACCACCGTCATTTTGGAAAAGCAGATACTTTATAATGTAGAACCCCCACAGGTCACGGACCCTCTCAGTCTTCATTACTTATTAAGACTCAAAGTTAATGTAGCCCATGCATATGCAAATATCATATGCTTTCTTTTGATCTAAGAACATATACACAACCCTCTTGATCTGTTGATCTTGGGAATCTTTTATAAAAGCATGGCCTCTAACCAGTTGTTCAAGTCCTTCAAGAAAGAAAGGACTGGGGAGGACTTTGTTCTAGACTCTTAAATAAGATCTAGTATTCCTTTTATTCAGTATATCATTTATTACCACACACATTTTCCTTGGAAACCTTTGTTCACATTTAGAAGACTTTATATTGCAATTAGAAAAACTGGGCCCCATTTGCATCAATTGGGAGGAAAAAAAAGTCTGAATACTCCCCTCATTTCTTCTCCTTTCCTACAAACTATATGTAACCAATGTCAAGCAAGTATGCACTGTGAAACTCATGTACAATGTGGTGTGTGTGTGTGTGTGTGTTTGCGTGCACACACATGTATCTGCAAGGAGAAAGAGATGGTGCCTATTTTTTGAAACCTCTTTCTGTCTTGGGTTTTGCAATTTGCTTCCAGTATCACTTAGGATGTCTTTCTATGGAGTCATAGAAATCCAGTTCAACAGATTCATGCAAAGATGTTAATTGTAAATGCAAAAAGAACAATGTAAGATTTCTGCAGCAAAACCAAAGATACTTTCATGATTTCTTCCCGCACTCTTTCAAGTATTGTTTCCTTTATAGACTTGCCCTCTTTGCCCCAGTCTGCCCAGAATCCGTGTATCAGTGTCTGAAGGCAGAAGAACTCTAACAACTTTTTCCTAAATTGATTGGCCAGCATATCAAGCCATACTATAAAGCAGTTCTACCAATGGAGCATTGAATAAGCATATTCAAGTGACCATTCTCATCCTATTGCAGTTTGAAACCCAATGCAGGAGAGAGCCTGCTTCCTGTTATTGGGTATGGCTGTGATCAGTCAGCTTCTGAACAAAGCCACAAAGAAAGGCCCTTTGAGGAAGGAAGGGTAGGAGAAACAACAGTTGACAGGAATCACAATTCCATGTAATTGTTGCCACAACTCTTTTCCAGGGGTCTCGAACACTCAGAGAGGTGTTACCCAAGGCCTTAGAGCTAGAGAGTACAGAGGAAAATTTAAGTTCCAATGATTCATGCTCCAGGACTGGGTCACAGGAGTGTTACCTCACTGGAATGCCCATGGAAAAGCAGCAGCAGGCTTTATTCAAGAATGCAGAAGAGCTTAAGGAAGAAAATGCATATTCCTATAATCCTACTCTTTAGTCATAACTAGTATTAACATTCTGGGGTATGTCATATTTTTCTC